TGTTTATAAAAAAATGTCAAAAACGTGAAATAACTGAGCCGGAATAGTCTCATAACTTTACAAAATGAAGTGTCATTACTTTTTATCTTGAAAAATTTAAAAGATATCGATGAAATGTAAACTTACGAATATTGTAATCACTCCATTGAAATAAAACAGAGTCCACATTTTCAAAACTGAATGAAAATGAACATAATAAAGATAAATAGAGGAAATTATGGTTTTAAAATATGAATTAGCACTTAAACTCTTCATAAAATGCCAAATCAAGAGTTTGAGGACTACAAAAAAGAAACAAAATTTTTTTTTTTGTCGAGTTGCCTTTTGAATGAAAACATCACCATGTCTTTTTCTTTCCATTTTGTGAAAAACTGCACCGCAGAAAAAGCTACGACCGGGCAAAAAAGTAAGATTAAGGTATTGTCTTTGCGAAAACAATTACTTTTAAACTGCAGTTATGCCGGTCCATTAAACTCGTAAATTAAGCACCTTTTTCTTGATTTGTCACTCCACTATATATTATTCTTGGTCACACAACAATAAAAAACAATGATAGCTTCCTTTCTATAAGATAGTAGTGCTTCCAAAAATGAAAAAAAAAATGCGGATTTATGCCTAAACATTACAATTAACATTGTATATCAACGGAACTCTGCGAAGACATTGTTTATATATACACGAGGTGTATTCTTGCATATGCACATTTTTTTCTTATTTCTATTTCAAAAGGATCATGATGAAAGTTTATAGATTTATTTCATAGTTTCATTATTAGTATATATTCCATTCCATTTTTTTTTTCAATGAGTATTAGTACAAAAGCGGATTATGTTTTTTTGTTTTTGTATTTTTTTTAAGGAGAGGAGGGAAGCTGGCTTGGCCCCATGCCTCTCTTAGTAGAATACTTGTGTTTATATTTTGAAAACTCTAGGTTCACCGCTGAAATATATAAATCATAAAATATCATTTACCGTAAAAACAAAATGTTGCATACAATGAAATTGAAAACATTATCAGTCTCCTGTTCTCGGTTCTAACGACAGTTTTATAAATGATCAATTAATTTCATATATACTTACACTGCAAGGTGTTGGTGAAATGTTTCAGGTCAGAAAATTTTCATTGAATTTGAATTGAAAAGGCTTTAATTTGATTAACATAGTAATAAGTTTCTGGGACTTATTTGGAATATATAATACTGTCTTTCGCTAATTTCAGTTATAAACTAGAAAAAGTCAGATTTTAAACCTAAGAACTTCAAGAATGCCTTTTTTTCTCATTTAAATGTTCTTTGAAAAAAAGCCGGAGCATTTGCAAAAAAACATGAACGTTTTAAATGTTGCTAACAATGTAAAACACTGAATTGTATGTGAACACTAAGGACATTTTGCGTCGTTTGTACTCAAAACATATATGTATTCAAAATAAGATCAACAGTCATGAATAAAATTATTATACTCGCGAAATAGCATTAAATCGATCTGATCGAATGTAATATGAAAAGAAAACCTTATCTACACTCAACAAAAAGTGGACCGATTCACTCGAAAAAATACACGATCACAGCTGGCCACTATACCTACCCTGTAGATGATATTATTAAATGAATTATAATACGAACAACTAGAGAATAAGGTAACAACTCAAATAATAGGCATTTTCGAAAACTATTCGATAACGACGCTTACAGCTATGTCTCTGCCTACAGGTATATTTTTGAGAAAGGGTCATCTCAATGTGTACAACGATCACAGGCATTTATATTATATTGTTTTCTAATTTAAATTCTAAATATTGTAGAAAACAATTATTTGGAATGAATTTCACTTTATTGGCTTTATTTAGTAGCTGAGAATTGAGCGATCCTCATATTGTAGTTTGTATAAAAAAGGGGGCTTTGTGTAAATTAGTAGAACATTAATCAGAAACAGGAACTTGTAAAGCATTTTATAGCGTGAAACATACCGTATAGATATATTGATAATATCAATAGTTATCTTGGTCTAATAAGGGGTGTACGGAATTTTACACCGATGTTGAAAATGTATTGTAAAATTCCGTAACCCCTGATTACACCAAGAACACTAATTTATTTCGTATGAAACGTTCCTTTTCTATTATTTATAACTTTTAAAATTCTTAAGAAGAACTATCACTTCATCTTTCAACCCCGATGTTGCTGCACGTTGTATTTTGGCTATCGTTTTTTCTTTTGTTTTGTTGTTTAATTTTGTCTAAACTTGATTTTTGTTTTAGGGTTTTCAAATTTGATTTTTTTGGGGGAATTTGGGCTTAAATTTTTTTCTTTTTTATTTATTTTGACCAAATTTTGGTATTGATCTTTTATAATTTTCGCAATTTACTTTTACTTTTGGCAGTAATTGTTTTGGTGGAATTTCACACTACACCCTTTTTATTTTGAAATGTATATTTTCTACTTGAGTCAAAGAAACGCCAATTACAAATCAACATACGCTTGCTTCATTAGAAGTACGATACTTTAATTAGGAGAACAACTGACGATAAAGTAAGCCTGTACATATATCACTTATGGCAGATAATTTGTTCATTGGATGTCTCAAAGTGTTCCAAAAGTTTTTAAGCAATTCAATTCGCCAATTGTATATTCTACCGCAACACTGTAATCCTTTTGAATGGTTGCAAACTGAGACATTTAAAAAAAACCAACAACAGATTGAATAACACAAATTCATTACTCAAAATAATCCCAAACTAATGAGAGCATTTGATGTTTCTAGCTCCGATTTCGAATAAAAAAATATATGAGAAAAATTACAAAATGTATTTCTTATCTCTACAACCAAGTTTTACGAAGTCATTCATTCAGTATGCTTCGATATTTTGATACGGTCCATCTGTTTTTGTAGTCTGGGTATGTATCGGTGTCGATGTAAGAGTCTGTGTATACGACATTACAAAAATGTCTAATATGTAGTTTCTACAGTGTATTTGAGGGAAAAATCATCTGTTGTACACGATAACCATAACATGTCGACATACTAGATTCAATCGTATACATAAATACTTGAATAACACACATGGTTAATTGGATAAGAAAGAAGTGTCGTATATGAATATATTGTAAGACAATTAAAATAAGTCGAATCAATATTGAAGTTTCTGAAGAAATATGCTATAATTAGCAAACTTTCTAGAAAATAAGTGAACACACAACCATATTTAATGATAATTTTGTCCCCTGTCGCAACTCGACACGGAGAGTTAAATCATTACATGTCCTGCAGTCGTCTGAGCGTCCATCCGATTTTTAAAGCTCTTTAAAGAGTACATTTAATATCAGATTTATATCTCTATGATATATAACGCGTATTGAAGTTTAAGCACTGTAAATCAGTTGAATATTTGTTTTGTTTGGGCTGTTAGAAACTTGAAAGGCTAGATAACTTTGTATTCGTAATTTACAATACATAGATAACTACTGTATATACAGTTAATATTTTTAAAAATCAATATAATCAATGTTAAAATCAATTGAACAATCAGGACACACAACGTTCTAAACTAATAGAAAACATAATAAAAATGTCAGGTTCGTAAATATAAGGACCGTTAGAAAAATAATTTATTGAAATATTTATCTACCATTGGAAAACCTAACTTTCCAAAAATTCTATATCTAATATGGACAAATTGTTTGAATTTAAATGTAACGATAACACAGAAATGTGAAAAAGGGGTCCCCGGAGTAAAATATATCTGTTTAATGCTTCGTTCTTAATTTTCACTACAGAAAAGTTGACGACGACTGTTTAATATTGGTCTTTGCAATTGATAAGAAAATATTATATTTTTAAACATGGAATAAAAAGCCTGCTTGTAAATATAGTATCCAACAAAAGAATATCGTAAACCCGTCTGAAAGAAATACAGAAAGTTCAGAAAAAATGTCGTCAAATCTGATTGAGTCTCAACAAAGTAATCCTGATAAATTTCAGGGAAAAGTTTAATATGTTTAAATAACAAATATTAAAAAATGACAGAAAGAAAAAAAAAAAAAAAATGACCTAAGCTCTAATATATAATCAAATGAATGATAAGAATACTTTAAAAAATATAATAAATATTCAATATGAAGTGATAATAAAGACCTGAATAAATGATACCAACAGAAAAGGTGCTGATGACATATAAATCCACGAAAAGCAAAGAAAGGCATTGGTCCTAATGAAATCATAGATGAAATGCTAAAATGTATATTTGAAAGGAAACATAATTCATATGTGTTTTGTTTTGTTTTTTAGTGTTATATCATGATTTATGACTGATACTGTTATTGATTGTCGAGAACAAAAGGGATTTTAAAAATCTTTTAGAATAATAGACCATAATTTTACGTTTAAATCTATTATTGATTATTAGAAGCATTAAAAAACCTGTGAATCATTGTATGCATTATTAACCCTCAATGTATAGCATAAAGAAATCACATTTTGATATTGTATTTAAAACAATATGATTTAAGATTTTGTACGATGATTTAACTGTTTATCTAGATCTTTTTTCTGTAATGATAAAGTGAGCAAGTGCAGTCACTACAAATAAGTCATATAAGATCTGTGAATATTTAACAATTCATAATGCCTAAACAATAAGTTCCTGTTCGGTTTATATGTTTTGTTACTTATACAGAATAGCCTGATACTGAATTTTGTTGAGGCGACATTTTGAATAGCCTTCCAATATTCATATCAACATTAAAAATCAGGAGTGTTCTACGGTGGTGGAATGGTTCAAACCCTCGTAGTTCTATTTAAATAAAAAACATATTTTGTTTGGGCTAAATTTTTGTTTTGTTGTGCCACGATTATTGACAGTATTCATTTAGTAATAGCCTTCATTCATTCATTTCATTCTTTTTTCCCGGCGTATATTTTCCGCGAAACTATATCATACTAATTTTCACTTTTGCACACTTGCTTGTTATACGGAATGATCCTTCATAGTTACAGCATAATTACCTTATTCAAATGTTATTAATGCATCTTATTTAATCCATATTAATCCTTTTCTAATGTTAGAATTATCCAAAATCCTACTTGTCAACTAGAAGGTCATTTTGGTTTACTTTCAAATTTGTGTACACACTTACTATTTTTAGAGTGTATTGATTGACTTGGTCCTGCAAATATATAGTCAGTTTCAAGTTAGAGCCTTGAGTAACATTGGATTGATCACTTTAGAATTGTTACTAAATGTCGTCCTATGTTTTTGGGTAAAGACTTGTTGCACAATCAGCACGTCGCAATTGTTTATTTACATTTTCTACATTTACACGTGATCATCTTAAAGGCGTTTTTTGATTGGATGCAGCCAGTTACAACTGCGACCAATGGAAATGATTTAAATGTGGATCCGAAATTTTATCTCAATCCGCAAAAGGGGAGGGGGGGGGGGGGTGGGTGGGGGAAGAGGAGACTTGATCGTAACCCTTGGCTAGTGAAAATGTGCGATATTGAACGAAGATGAAAACTTCTTAATCAACTTATACTGCACTTTATGGTAGGATCGTCCGGTTTGTAGTGATGACAACTTAGAAATACACTGAAAACCAAGTATCTCTTATGAGAAAACGGTTTCATTTGCGAGTCTTTATTCCATCGTATAAAATATAGTATCGTATTCACTAAGATTCAAACACAATATCAATTCAATAATTCAATAGTCATAAATGCACAGTTTACCTAAGTTTGACAGTCTGAAATTTATAAAGTGTTGTTTTCATTTTCTATCATTAAATTTTATTATCCGCTGCATTTGAATTTCTATCAGATAGTATCCAAGCGCGTGAAAACGAATACTATCCATTACTCTTCTGTTCATATACAAAATATGATTTTTTTAAAACTTATTTGAAACATTTGTAATATTGAACACTATATAACTTATTTCAATAATGAAAATATATGTCATTTAAATATTTATTAGGATGTCATTTGGATGAAATCTAAAATGTCGTATTCTGATTTCGTACAGAAAAAACGTTTGCTGCATCTAAAATACCTTAAACAAAAAGGGCTGCTCGGTGTTTGTACATTATTCAAAAATATGATTAAATTCTTAGCGTTACTTGCTAGTTTATACAATAGTATTGTGTTTAAAACAAATCGTTCAAGATTTAATTTTGTCGAAGTCAAAATAACTGTCTGTGCATGCGAAATAATGGACGTCAGCCCAACTTTCTCTGTAACATAAAAGTATATTCAGTCTAAGATATATGCATTTACTTATCTCAAAGTTTTCCATTTTGATAATATTAGAGTCAACAATAGTTTACCCATGTTCAAATATATCAAATCAAATTAGAATCGCATATGTTGTAAACGGTAGGCCTATGCGTTGAATTGGTAACTGGCTTCTGCTCTGCATTCAGGTCAGCTACGACTTTACTAGTATCTAAAGACCTAAGGCTGATAAACATTGAAATCGGTGACTAGAATTTTAGTGAAATTAAATTAAAATTAAGTAGATGAGGTATGAATGCCAATGAGACAACTATGAAAACATATAATTGAGAAAACAGCCTAATTTATAACAAAACAGTTTACGAAAAACAAAAATGGCAGACATGAACCAACGACAACCAATGAACTACAGGCTCCTGCCTTGGAACAGGCACTTAAAGAATATGGCGGGATAAAACATGTTTGTGGGCGCTCAACCCTCCCCTAACCTGGGACAGTGGTGTTACAGTACAATATAAGAACAAACTATAACTAGATTTGCCATTGCAAGCAATAGCGGATGGCACCCTTCCCACATTGCCAGGCGAGCGGCATCCATTTAGAAAAATTCCAAAGTCAAAGAGTGCATCTACACATGCAAATTATCATTTTTGTAAAGTTTCATTAAGTTTGGAGCATTTTGAAGTTTTGGACATTTTTGCTGTTTCCATGGTTACGGCGGCCATTTTGAAAATTCCAACTTCAAAATGCAACTCTGCCCATGCCAGTTACCATTTCTGTAAAGTTTCATCAAGTTTGCAGCATTTTGAATTTTTTGGAAATTTTGAAATTTTTGCTGTTTCCATGGTTACAGTCGATAATTGCAAAATTCTAAAAGCAGACATCTCATTGCCACATGTCATGTTATATATCAATACAGTTTCATTGACTTTGGTGAAATACTCTTTAAGAAAATGCTGATTTTATGCATTTTCCCATAGGGTCAATGTTAAACTTGCCCCCAGTTTCCATGACAACATCGGCCATTTTGAGGTATCTAAATATTGTCTTGGAATCTTAGCATACTGGGTAACATTTTCATTAAGTTTCATCCAGTTCGGTTTTATAACGGAAGAGTTAGAAATTTTGATATTTTAGCTGTTTCCATGGTAACGGTAGCAATATTGAAAATTCCAAAGTCAAACTGCAAATCAGCATATGCCAGTTACCATTCCTGTGGAGTTTCTTCCAGTTTGGAACACTTTTTTGGCATTTTTGCTGTTTCCATGGAAACGGCAGCCATATTTTACCATTCTATAGCAAGGTGCACAACTTTACATGGGGGTCCTCATTATAGTAGAGTTCCATCAACATTGTTCCATTGGATTCCAAGAACTCGCGCGGACAAAATTTGTGCAAGAAAAATAATAAGAATAAAAAGAAACGTAGAATAACAGTATGTCACCCCAACTCCGTTGAGGTTGCCATAATGATAATAAAATTTTAAAAATTCCAAAGTCAAACTGCTGTTGCGTATGGTGCTACCCATAATAATATACCATCATATAACATTTTATGTCTCTAGATTTAATTCAACACTGATGTTTTAGAATGTTCCATGAAAATTCACCCCCTTCAAATTATGCCAAGGAGACCCCCAACTGAAATAAAAAATGTTCCATGTTGAAGTGGACATATGTCTCTAAATATTCATAGAAGTAATCATAATTTTATCTACTCTACATACAGCAGCTAATCTAAGAAATGTAAAATTTCTTTGACCCCATCCATCTTTGAGGCCCCCTAATTATGCCAAGTGGACACCCTGGTATCATGAATTTTGGGTTCTGCAACCCCCATGATACAGACCCATACCCATAATAAATATAAAGTTTCCATCCTGTATAGCTTCCAAGAAAATGGTAAGACAGTTTAAGAGGTCAGAAAGAGAAGAATAAGAATAATAACTAGAATTGCCATTGCAAGCAATAGCGGATGTCACCCTTCCCCCATTGCCAATAAGCGGCAGCCATTTCAAGAAATGTCAACAGTGAATGCATATATATGCATGGCTATACATCTCTCTGTAAATTTTCAGTACATCCAGAGCATTTTAAAAAATTTCGCATTCTTACCGTTTCCATGGCAACGGCAGCCATTTTGAAAATTTCATAGTCAAAAGTCTCATCTATTCTTGGCAGCTAACAAAAATATCAAGTTTCATGACGATCAAAGCATTTTGAAAATTTTTGACATTTTTGAAGTTTCCATCGCGACGGTGGCCATTTTGCAATTCCGAAGTCAAAAGTCTCATCCAGACTTGGCAGTCAACAATACTATTAAGTTTCATCAATTTTGGAGCATTTTGAATTTTTTGAAATTTTTGACATTTGTGATGGTTCCTATGGTAACAGAGACCATTCCCAAATTTTAATGGCAGATGCCACATTGGTACATGGGAGGCAACATACCATCAAAGTTTCAATGGATTTGACCTACCATTTTAAGAAAGTAAATGCCACTTTAAGGTTTTTGAAGCATTTTGACCATTTTTGCATTGTTTCCTTGGTAACGACAGACATTTTCGAAATTCCAACGCCAAATTCCACATCTACCAATGTTGCCCATCGTTACTGTGAAGTTTCATGAAATTTGGAGCATTTTGATATTTTTGAAATTTTTGGTGTTGTTTCCATGACAACATAGTAGTTCCAATGATTGCCAAAATCATCCAAAACCAGTATATAGTGGGCACCTACATTTTATTAAAATCTAATGATTTTAAGTTTAGGCATTCTAAAATAAATCACCAAACTCCAAAATTATCTTTTTTCACCATTTTTCAGTTTCCATGGTGATGGCAGCCATTTTTTAGTTCCAAAGTTGCACTGCAACTGGAAAGTCAGGGTTCCTTGTTATAGTGAACCATCATTCAGATTGGTTCCTTTGGCTCTGAGAAAGCGGGCGGACAAAATTAGGTGGAAGAAAAATAATAATAACAAGTAATCCTGTGTTAGGATGCTAACACAAAAGTCGCCAAAACGGCCCCCAACCATTGTTCTGCTGTTTCCATGGTAACGGAAGCCATTTTGAAATTTCAAAGTCGGATAGCACATCTTCACTTGACAGGTCACATTTCTTACAAGTTTCATAAAAAACGGACCAATTTTTTAAATTTAGGCATTCGTGTTTCCATGGTTACGGTGGCCATTTTGGAAATTCCAAAGTCAAATGCCACATCTACAAAAGACAGTCAACATTTGTGTAAAGTTTCATTAAGTTTGAAGCATTTTGAAATTTTTGAAATTTTTGCAGTTTCCATGGTTACGGCAGCCATTTTGAAAATTCCAAAGTCGGATGGCACATCTACACATGACAGGTCACATTACTGTCAAGTTTCATAAAGATTGGACCAAATCTAGATTTTTCGCATTTTTGTTGTTTCCATGGCAACGGCGGCCATTTTGGAAATTCCAAAGTCAGATTCCAAATCTACATACACTCGTTAATATCTCTGTAAAATTTCATTAAATTTGAAGCATTTTAAAAAAATTTCACATTTTTGCAGTTTCCATGGTAACGGCGGCCATTTTAAAAATTCCAAAGTCGAATTACAGCTACATATGGTGCTACCTGAAATAATCTATCATTATATAACATAAAAAGTACATAGGAATAATTCAACACTATCACATGACTAATCACATGACTATTGTTCTAGAATGTTCCATGAAAATTGACCCCCTAAAATAATGCCAAGATGACCCCAGGCTGAAATAAAAAATGTGGAATGGACACCTGGACATCGGTCTCTTGTATTACACAAAACTTAAAGGTTCTACCAGTAGCGAATCAATAGTCGAAAAATGACCCCACCCATGTTCCGGCCCCCAAATAGTGCCAAGTTGACCCCCATTTGAAATAAAAAAATAGTGAATGCACCCCTAGGGATACTACCCCATCATCATACCAAATATAAAGTTTCCATCATTTAAGGCTTGGAAGAAAATGGTCGGACAAATTAGGGTTAAGAATAATAATAATAAGAAGAAGAAACGGGACAAAAACATAAAGTCCCCAAAACTCCGTTTTGGCGGCTTAATAATAATAATAGGGAAAAAGAA